TTTGCTGGAACAACAGCAACGTTTCTGTACGCTTAAATTAACATAATGTTCTTTATTTAATTTTCGATATCTAAAGAATCAAGTTAATACAATCAAACAATCAACAAATTACTTGATAGAATCAATCATCAACCAATTAAATAGCATACAAAAAATCAAACGGTTTAAAATATTAATTTAATACAATTAGGGAAATTATTATATAGATCAGTGTTTTTCAACCTTCTTGAATACGCGACCCCTTTACAAGTTAAAAAAATTCTGGCGACCCCCCAGGGCCATATTAAAACTATATCAGTGATTTTAAAAACTACGTACAGTATTTAATTTTCTTTCTGTTGAGACCTAAATATCGATCGAAAAACCAATTGTACTTTAAAATAAAAACGCAAAGCCTTCTCACTGAAATTGTAGTTTTATTTATTGTAGTGTAGGACCTACAAACACTTGTCTTTTTCTTTTATCCGCGACCCCCGTGTAAGGCTTTGCGACACCCTGAGGGTCGCGACCCACAGGTTGAAAAACACTGATATAGATAACTATCTATGGAATTTCGGGACTTTGAGTATCTATCTGAACTGAGGGGACCGAGACGACTTCAACGATACCCTACTTTTGGACCAAAGACGAAAAATAATAAAGTTATCATACTTTTTCTGGTGATCGCATGATATAATTGTGCAGTTAATGTTACCTATGGTGAGTAAAATGGCGGCTCGTCTCTGATTCCAGCAAAGAGAAGAAAGGAAACAGTGAGACGCACGTTCTAACCTAACCTAACCTATTCTAATAAATTACCATAATTATTACCAACCAAATTATTAGAATAGGTTAGGCTAGGTTTGAACGTGCGTCCCTACTATTTCCTTTCTTCTCTTTGCTGGAATCAGCGACGAGCCGCCATTTTACTCATCATAGATAACATTGACCAATTGTGCTTACTAATAAGTAAGCACAATTCTAAAGATTGGTGACACTTTGAATTTCATAGCAATTGGTTTTTGCGACAAGCACATCTATTTGTGGTACATTTATTTGTGGCAAAGATCTCATTTTCACTTTACCGAGTGTCTGGTAGGTAATGTGCGGATTACCTAGATACTCTGCACATTAGGTAATTTGAGAAATGGAACAATTTTCACAAAATTAACGGATCACCTTAGTTAATCTGCATATTAGCTAGGTAATGTACACATTAACGACTTTCGAGCTTTAGCGGTAACATATGCACCAGACGGAAAAACAAAAAATATCGTGTATCCTCACGCACTCCAATAAATAAATAGTGTGCCTTACGTCTGTTCTTGCCCCCCTTTCGCCACGTGGTGGGTCTAACTCGGTGGAGAGGAGTTATGTAATTCAGGGGTGTGTGACCGAGGGGTGAGTGTTTTATGGACGGGGTGTGTCTCAGGGAGAGGGGTGAAGGGAAGTGGAGAGTGGAGGAAACGGGAGATGAGTAGAGTGGAGTGAAGTGCGGAAATGAAGATATAGAGCCTGTGCAAGCAAGTCCGTAGAGATTTTTAGAACTTTGGAACTTTTCCTTACCCGGAGTGGAAGAGAAGAAAAGATCGTCGAAGCCTCATTTATGTCGGTATGTTTCCATGTATTCTTGTTACGTCAGCTTGAGCAATTTATTGTCGGGAGATTTTTGTTATCAATTCGCGATATACTAGATTTGTCGGACTCTGTATTCTTGTGTCTCATCTTTATCTTGGGAGTACTGTATCCTTTTAAGTATATTAAAGAAATATTGTTATAGTATTCAATGGTTGTCTTGTCTAGTCCCTATTGAGTCCAGTGGATTCCCCTTAATAAGCGTTGTTTCCACCAAGCACGCTTGTTATAAATTTATCCCCTGGTTGAGCACTTATATTTTATCGTGTTGATTCATTCACACGATATTTTGTACCCCCCACAATAGAATTGAAATGACACTTTGAAATGTTTTCCCGACGAAAATGAATAATAATAATAAGTTTCAATAAAAATGATAAAATGTAAATTGAATTTTATCATAACGAGTTTGCTTGAATTTCGTTTCTTCTGAGATCGCAGCAATGAGCTACGGGTAAGCTTGTTTACTATACGATGAGTGCGCTATGGTTATAGATTATAGTTTAAATCAGTAATTCCCAAACTTTTTCGAGCCGCCGCCCCCTTGGTTCCATACAGTTTTTCCCGACGGCCCATTTTCTGTTGTGCGAGAAAGACTTAGAAATATTCTTAGGAAAACTTTTTTATTAACCTGACACTTTTTGTCCTTACCGTGCATTGTTCTTTACATTTGAAAACCATTAAACGCAGTTTCTTCTTGCCCGTTTTAACAGAGGAAAAGGAAAGGTGACCCCAACCCTCGCCTATGGTTACCGTTCAGTACAAGGTCAATATAAATAGGTCTGGACACGAACGTTACCTTATTTATGGAGCCGGCATTTTGAAACTTTTTGAATAGTGTAGGTTTTAGCAACAAAGCGCTGCTGCTTCAGTTAGATAATTATACCTCCATGATTACAGCTATTGAGAGCTGAGAAACCAGTATGGCCGCATTTCTTTATGGGCCTAGCGAAAATGACGTCACAAGCAGCTATCGCTACACGTCGCTACATTATACGAGTAGTTTCAAAACGCTTTTTGCTCGAGCTATTCTTTAATTCCAGTTACAGCCGAAAGTGCTGTTTTAGTTAAAATACTACAATATAGCCAAAAAATAAATATAATTTAGTCATTTTCAATTATTTTTATACTTACAGTTTATCTAATTTCTATATCTCGAGTTGGCAACAGTAGTATAAGTATGAAATTGTGAACGAGTTGGCAACACTGAGAACAATAGCAAGTTGCTCGACCACGAGGGTGGGAGAAGAATATTGTATTCTAGGCGCAAGCTGTGATCTATTAATTAAATTTTATATCGTATATTAAATTTATTGTATACAAAATGACTACTCTCGGAACTATAACGTTTGATGAATATGGTCGACCATTCATTATCTTGAAAGATCAAGATAAAAAGAAAAGATTGACGGGAATAGAAGCTCTTAAGGTAGGCGAAAATTATTTATTTCCTAAATATGTAAAATTAAAGTATTTATATTAGATTCCGAGAGTTTAATTATAATTTGTGTCGGGAATCTGGAGATCGATAATTAATGGCTAAAAATAGTCAAATTTATGGATGAATGAAACGAATGTACAGTTTTATTATTCTGTTTTGCAATATTTCTAATAGAATTTACGGTAGGTACCTTTACTTTTAGATGAATTACATATAGATGTATTTATATACAAATAACGGGAATTATGAATGTTTGTCCAAGATTCGTTCTCTTAATTTTGTACAATACACCAAGGAGTGGGAAATGGTGAATACCGAATATTAGTCATTAGTAATCATCCGTACTACTATGTATTGGCCAAATGTTTGCTTGGTATTCAGTAAGTACTGAATGTGTGGTGCCATCTTTACACTATTTATGTGAGAGAAATTTGTCTAAAGGAATGTACAGATATATATCAATACTACAAATATTCTATATACAGTAAAAGAGCAGATTTTGTTATGCAGTGTTCAGAAAAAAACCAATTACTTGTGCCAGCACTAACTGCACTCACTGTGTTTAGACTCTTCTTCCATCATTGCAACAATATGGGTGATTCCACTTGATACCAATTTTGTTATAAAGACTAATTTCTTTTTATTTTTGGATGAAGAATTTTCTCAGACAGTTGAAAATGGTGTGAATGTTAAATAATGTTGCCTAATATTCTTTTTCAGAGTAGTAGTGGACCTTGTAAGGGTTGCTTTTTCATTATTTTGAAAGAACAAAATAATTATTTAGCAATTCTTTGCTATATTACATTATTTCCTGTACACTGAAAGAGTTGGTATCAATTAGTGATGTGCCGGATTGTTAAAAATGTATATCCGCAGATACGGATCATTAGTGTCTACATCTGCAGATACGGATACGGATCTGGATCTGGATCTCAACTTTCGTACTCGGTTGGCACCGGTGCGTGTGACCTTGGACCGATAGTTGACGCTTTGCGTTAGTAACGCGACGTGTTTTGACTTGCACTGCGTGTGTTTTTGTTTATAGTGTAAAACTGTGCGAAATTAGAATTCACTACAATGGCAGACATGATAAAGTAACTAAAATTTTTAAATTAAACTATTTCGCTTCTTTATACAGATTCTATTTCAGGGGATTCCAGCTTCACGGTACAAACAGTAGAATGCGAAATTACAGTGATAATAATAGATTGCTGTATCCAAAGCACATGTACAATACAAATCCCGATCGCGACAATATATATAACCCAAAACCTTAAAATTAAACTTAAACACAAACTTAACACTAATAACAGAAAAAGGGATAGAATTAAGAAGACAGAATAAATGGTAGATAGATAGAAATAGGGATATCCGGGGTTTTGTCCCTTTTTTCGGCTTGTTTCTTGATGTGTACTGTCGGGTGGGATAACACACGTCCTTTTCTTATAACTGGCCAGTTCTCTTCAATAATTATTTTTCCTTCCACTGTCGTCAATACGATCTTAAAACAGGATCTGAGGAATCTGAAAACCAAATATCATACACTAATGCTAATTTGCTCACAGAATATGCCAAAGAAAAAAGATTATCAAGAGACCAAGATCCATTAAAGTATTGGGAGATTAATAGAAAAAAATTTGGAGGTTTTAGTCACATGGCTCACACATACTTATCATTACCTGCAACAAGCGTTCCAAGTGAGCAGTTTTTTAGTGCAGCAGGAATTATTTATGATTTTCATCGTAATAGACTTTTGGGGGATACAGCTGCCAAGTTACTCTTTTTGAAGTACAATTTACCATTAATTAATTTTGATTATGACATTTAATTTTTTGAAGTTTTTAAAAATGTGATTATTTTATCTGATAATTATGATAATATAACCATGATGATTATTCCAATTAGCATTAGAGGTTTGATTTCACTATAAAGATAGTTAAATTAATACCTTATACTGGTAACTTACTATAGTTAATGTTTAAATATTTAATTTTTGCAATATGAATGTGCCAAATATGTGATTTTAAGAAATAAAAAGTGATTTGAATTGAAGTTATTAGTATTTTATTGCTACCTATCTTTAAAATTTCATATAAGTAATGAAATTCATTAAGATAAAAGATCCGCTAAAAAGTAACGGATACGGATTTTTTTTCCCTCGGATATCCGGCACATCACTAGTATCAATACTCAAGTTTAATTACTGATTAATATTTTGGATTCCTTTTTGGAGCTCTACTTACTTTTTCCATTTTTGCATCTTTGCTTTAAATATTGGAAACAAAAGTATAAAAACAAATTCATTTCATATTACAGTAGAACCTCGAAAACTCGGCCTAATGTGGACCGAAGGGTGGCCGAGTTTGTGAAAATGCCGGGTTATCCGGAATGGGGTTAAAAAAAAATAAGTACAAGTGTTTCCTCAGAAAATACTGTACTGTACTTGTATGTATTGTTTTCTTGAGAATATAACAGAGAATAAACTGCCCAAATACCCTTAAACAAAGGAAAAGTACGTCCTTTATGAAGGCATAGAGCCTTTACTACATGAAAATGAAAATTAATGAATACACTGTGTNAATGTTCAATATGATTGTAATGTACTGTCCATTCTTCTAAATAATCTAAGCAGTTACTATAGAATTTTTTGACGTGATTCACGAAATCTGCGCGATTTATTGCACCTTGTTCTTCTAACTGACTTATACTATTACGGATGATTAATGGAAGAACAACAGGGAGTGCACTGCTTTGTTGTTGCAGCCCCAAACTAGTTTCTGTCAGTCTTTTTCGAGGTTCTACTGTATTTGTTTTTGATGTTTGTTTATTTTTTAAAATTATTTATGTTAAGTGAATATATAACTGAATACAATATCCAAATGCTTTGAAACTTTAATTTCTAATAGATAATTTTGAAATAAACAAACTTTCAGGTATTTTCACTCGTACTGTACGTTTCTATATTCAACGGTGAGAGAACAATGTTTTTAAATGGACCGTTGAGATAGTGACATCAGTGCTGTTTTACCATTGAGCTCAACGACCTGAAAGATCGTTGAATATTCAACAAACTAACATGGCAGCTTCCATGAAAAAGTAAATTTTGCTTATAGAAACTCCATTCGCTGCTGTGGATGCTATAATAGTGGACAGATTAATGAACGATCTGTATATGGTAAAACATGTGATTGCACTATTATGTTGGATAATTTGGTCAATATTGAAATATTAAGAATTTTTCATTTGTACAAAATTGATTACGACTGATATTTGGCCCTCTAAGTCTTCCTAATGATATAAATATTCAAGAAATTAATTAAAATTATTAAGGAGAGACCCAGTATAAAAGAAAATGATATAGATATGGGTTCATTTGAATAAAAGGATTTATTTGAATAATGGTTAAGCGAGTTACTTTAATTATTTAGCAAAACAGTCACAGTCACCACCTTCTTGTTACTTAAGTCAGCCATCTTGAAAAGCGGCCTCTCAACAAAAGCATTTTTTTTTCTGTAAAACGTGACATCAGATCATATAACGGAGGGACTCAACGGAAAATTCACTATTGAGTCAATCGTTGAATATAGAAACATATGGATAGTTAGTTTATGGTCCAGATAGCCAATTCTAATACACTCTATGTTAATTGGTCTTAGGATAAGGTGACCAGATTTTAACATTGGTGAAGTGGGACAAAATTGACAGGGGGAGTTGTTGTCTTGTTGAAAAAAATTGTATTATATTTTTTTAAATTTCAACATATGTAAAATTTATAAATATAATAAATATATATACTATTATAAATCTTTAAAACTCTTTATTCTTTAGCATATTAATCAGTCCAGTGAATTTTTTTTAGTAGATTGCTGTGGTTGTCTAAAATGTCATGAAATTTTTTGCAAGAATTTGTTAAATTATATTTCACACATAATATGGCTTTTAGAGTCTCAACACTTAATTGTGATATATCAGATGTCCACACAGAAAAAACAGTTCAGTGGTGGCATTAGTTCCTGGTAAGGACTGCGAGTACTCCACAATTTTTAATGCATTATTGTATGGAACATAGTTTGTTTCAAAATGATGAAATATTTCTAACTATTTGTTCTCTGTTGAGACTTTTGCTGATACTCAAGATTTAACCTTTTCCTTTTTCAATATATTTTTTTAATAATGATACCTCTTAAAAAGATCATTTTCGGAAATACAGTAGAGCATCGATTATCCATATGTCGATCAACCAAAACATCAATTAACTGAAAGCTTTCCAGTCGGTAAATTTAAATTTCTGTTAGTGCTGTGGCACTGAAATCTTTGGCTATGTCTTTGTCTTGGGATACTCCAATATTATTTTTGTTGGTATGGGTGTTTTAGCTGGAAGTACTGGCGCAACCATGAAAGGGTACTTAAGGACGTGTCGGAATTTGAACAAATTTCAACATGGGATAGGTTAATATATTTTTTCGTACATAATTGGTTATCCGAAAAATCAATTTTTCGAACAACCCCAATCCCCAATTGATTCAGATAAACGATGCTCTACTGTATTACTATCTCAAAAATGTTGACTAATATGATCGAATGATTTTTGCACATCTTCCCAATTAGGTTTTTGTTTTAATATAGCCCAATGAAAATGTTCAGTATCATTGTAATGTACTGTCCATTCTTCTAAATAATCTAAGCCAATGGTATTCAAACATTTTAACAGTGCGACCCCAAGGTAATTTTCCACAACACCATTTGGGGTCACGACCCATAGATTGAATACCACTGATCTAAGCAGTTACTATAAAACAGGCCTGTCCAACCTGTGGCCCATCATGTTAAATTGTGTTGCCCGCTAGGTGATATTATATATCAAAACTTTCGTTTCCTGTTATGTGTATACCAAAACAAATAAATAAATGAAAATTTGCATGTGTCATTGTTATAATGTGCAAGTGTGAGTACAAACTCTTGATATAACAATAAAATCTTATTCATTT